CGGTTCCGATGGGTCGTAGGATGGCATGTATTTGTTGTTGGCGGCGGCGTATCGGTTGGAGCATTGGCTGAGACCACCGCGTATACCGCGCTCGACAAACAGTACCATATCGATGTCCGTGAGCAACTCGAATTTTACACGCGTGTACTTCATCATAGCGTCCCACGTGTATCCCGGTAGAGTGTAATAATGAGCGGGATCTAAACCGTAACTCTTTATAGACATGTTTCGAAAATTTTCGAAAATATCCGCCAACAAAAGAACGTCTGTTTTCAAATACAAATCGCTGTATTGGCCTAGATCTTCGATCGAAAAAGTTTGCCAGACGTTTGTCGCGTGCGCGTAATCGCTCTCGGATACCGTTTCTCCGGTGAGCGAGCTGTAAAACGATTCGCGCGATGGCAGGCTTGTGTCCCGGAGCTTGTCGACGCTGTCGACGTACTCGTAGGGAAACACACCTTTCCGAGTAAGCAGATTGAAATTTTCCGCGGATAAATGTTTGAATTCCGATTGTGAAATTTTAATTCATCTACAGTTAAATAAGATGCCAATTTGTCGAGACTCGTACTGAGAAATCTAAACGAATCAATAAACCGTAATTTAATACAAATTTTGAATTTTGATCCACGGTATCTTTAACATTTTTGTAAATGAAATGTAACGCTCTTTCGTCAGCGGTAACAATTCGACGTTGCCTTCGAAAGCATTGGCAACGTCTTTAATAATAAAATGCGCGTCGTAACCGGATAAATTGTGAAATATCACCGGGATAACGTCGGAGTCTATGTAATTTAGATTGCACGACGAGTGCGCGGCACCGCGGTAACGCCCGGTCAGATGACAATGATCGCGCACCCGCGTGTCGTCCGCTGTTAAGGGTTTCTCGCACACGTGACACGTTACGGCGCTACGGAATTCCTCCGATTTCTCCCGCGTAAGATCCGCCATGGGGACGACGGTGGTGCGGATCGCTTTCACGCGGTGCGTCAAATCGTGCAGTTCGTTGACGAACCACGCTGTGCAATCCTCACCGCGATATGACTTAAACTAGAGAGCGAATTATCGTAAGCGCAACTTACATAATATCCTACGCTAAAGGCTCTGTGATGTTGGTAGGCGTAAGTAGTACCGTCCTGATCCTCCTTTTTCTCGAGCGTACATTCGAGATCGGCGTACACTACAAACGGAACCCGCTCCTTTCGATTGTAATTCCAGAACGTCAGCCACATGTCGTTCTCGCTGGGGAGAACGACGGCGCAGTCGTTCATTTTCCCGCAGTCGACGCTGTGGACTGACAACTTCTCCCGTGTATAAAAGTAGTGTAGACACCTGTAATAATTTATTTGATTAAAACTATGAATAAAAATATTGATTTATTTTATACGCATCTTTTTACTTACCGATCGCAAATGTACATTTTACATTTGTGCATGCTCAGTTGTGAGCTCACCAACCGCGGCAGGTTCTTTATGCACGCAAAGTGTGCATCGTTGTTTTTACACACGTAGAGCAGGTTGACGTGCTTCTCCTTTTTGTCATCGGCGAGCCGCAGAGGGACGATTTTGGAGTCTTGGGTGGTAAAGACGTTGACGGAGATGGCGTTTAGTTTCTCGAACTTTGATATTTGTGACAGCGTCACGGGGAACTCGATGTCGCACAGATTCAGCACCGTCGAGTAATGTGGGTATTCTATCGTTCTTTCCGGATGTTTTTCCGCTGGATATAAAGCGGCGACGACTGCCCACGCGAAACACGCATTGTCCGTCGATTGCACGTTGACCACCGCCCTTTTTAGCATAATTTGCCACGGTAACTTGATGTGGCATCCCGCGTGCAGAGGATTGAACTTGTTCACATTGACGGTGAGATTCAGAATACGCGACAACGCCCATCCGCTATCGCGTTCCTGAAACTCCTCCAGAGCCGCCAGAATATCATCCTCCACGTGCCGCGTGTACCACTCGTTGAGATCGAATGTGGGAAACAACTCGCAATTTTTGGTGGCGATGGTCTTCACAGCAGTCTTGTCGCCCGCGACGAATTCCCCGTTGAACGCGGTGTTAATCTTGACGCTGTTGTGTTCCGCCATGACGCCCTGGATCCGCTCGATAACCGTATTTTTTACATTTTCAAAAAATTCACGAGGATCTATATAGTTTTGGTTGATAATCGCACCGGTCAGCACACGGTTCCTAAACGCCGTCTCGATCTCCTTCCACGTGTAGCCCTTCTTCTCGTATCTACCGTATCCGGCACCGACGGGCACAAAACGCTCGTGCAGGGCGTCCCTCACACCCTCCAGACGCGCAATTTGTGCCACCAGAGAGTTGACTACTCCGGTGCGTTGCCTCTTGCGACATTGTTCCTTGAGAGAATCGAGGTACTCGTTGCACTCGTAGTCCCATGGAAGGAACTCTCCCGTCGTTTTGATATTCGCTGCTCGTACGGTAAGATTGCGCTCCTTCTCCATTTTGAACAACTGTGATTAGTCGTTTTTTTCTCACTCGCTTTATATACCCGTTTGTTGCACACGACACCAACTATAAGCATAACAATGATGCATTCCAACAACATGGCGCTGTCTACAATTTGTATAAACAATCCTTATTTTTTCTCTTCCGAGAATTATTGTAATATGATATCCCCACCACTCCGAATTTACCCCCTCTCCTCCAAACATGATGACGCAATTTAAACAGGCGCTCTACTTTGATGCGCGCGTTGTAGGATAAGTCGGTATAGCGGATAAGATGACACGGAAAAATAATAAAAAATTTTAATTACAGTTGAAATAATATTTATTAATATGTATTGTTACAACTCCGCAAAGACCTGAGTCACCAGTTCACAATCAATTATATTATTCTTATCGAATAAATCGCTTTTGCGAATCGCCACGTGATCGGGGTCCTTCGCATTCCTCGCGATTTCTGAAAAGTGTGCGAACTTGACATCAACCGTACCGGTGATGTTGTTCAACGAATGATTGATACAGTCTACGCAATATTCAAGTGCAAACATGTTACACACGGTTCGGTTTGACATGATTAAACATAATGCTGATGTTGCCAGGCGCATTACTTTTAGGTTGTTCATTTTTCCAAAACTTAACGTGCAGTGTCCAACGGTCTGAGACGGTGCTTCGTCCGCATCATTCTTAAAGAAGCTGGCGATGATGCTCCGTTGATTCATGAGTTCTTTCCATACGCCGTATGATAGACGTAGCTCCTTACCATGATTGTCACCGAGAGCGATTTCCACACAGCTCGACGTTGAGACGTTGATTCCGATGTCGAGATACTTGTACCCAGTCTTCATCAAATAGTATCTTCTAACCAAGATCCTAGATGATTCTTTTTCCATCTTTGACATATTACTTTTTTGTTTTCTGTGAAAAAATAAATTATTAGTTTAAAAGTATAACAATTAAGTTTAAAGATGTAGCTAAAGAAACGACATACTCGTTGGGTAATTGCAGCTTCTTCGCAGTCTGCTGTTTGTTGATCTGATTATTCACGGTTGACATGGTGCAAAACATCGTTGCTAGTAAACGTCACAGCGAACTAGTAATTTTCTCAATGATTTCGAACGACTGATGGTTCCTATTCTTTTTCACTTGCTTTATATACCCGCTTGTTGTATACAAAATTGAAATCTGACAACATGGCGCCGAAAATGCTGACTTGGCTGCCTGTTGCTATGGGCTTTTGTTCTAAAATACAGCGATGACGCAATCCGTAAACCTGCACGAACCTACATACTATAAACATTGCGATGATGCATTCCGACAACATGGTGCTCTACTTTGTTGCGTAGAAAAAAAAACCAGAGGATGTAAACAGTTCTTTTTCCAATAAACAATCCTTATCTTTTCCGGGAATCCTTATCTCGCGATGCCTACAATTTGTATTAACAATCCTTATCTTCCGGGAATTATTGTAATCTGATACCCCTACCACTCCACATTTACCCCCTCTCCTCCAAAAACGATGACGTTATTACCCCCTCCACTGTTATCCAATACCCCTCTTCCCCTCTTCACCCGCACCCCCCTCATTGCCCCTGGGTTAGAACCCCCATTGCTATACTACTTTTACGGTATAAAATACACGAACTACATCGGTGATGGCGATTCAAAAACGTACAAGGGTATCATAAATGCTGCTCCTTATAGTGATACTCCTATTATTAAAAAAGAATGCATTGAACACGTCCAAAAAAGAATGGAAAGTCGCCTGCGCAAGTGCAAAAAAAAAAGGAAGGGGCTCGGCAGTAAAGGCAAGCTAACGGCAAAAATGATCGATAAATTAACAGTTTATTACGGTTTAGCAATACGACGACATTGTGAATCAGTAAAAGATATGTATAACGCGATTTGGGCAACATATGATCATTATAGCTCTACAGATGAAAAACCGTGTCATAGTAGATGTCCGACTGGAGTTGAGTCATGGTGTACTTGGCAGCGCGCTTCGGCGAAAAGAGAGCTGGCTTTATTTAAACATTATAAACCTTTACCTCCAGATGTTTTGACTGCAATCAAGCCTATTTATGAAGATCTTAGTAAGGATACTTTACTAGAAAGATGTCTTGGCGGGCTTAACCAAAACAATAACGAGAGTTATAACTAACTGATCTGGAAAATTAGCCCAAAAATTATTCCAAGTGGCTCAATTACTGTCGAATTAGCCGCATATATCGCTGCCTGTGTATTTAATGAGGGATCAATAACATTACTACAGATGCTACAATCCATGGGAGTAAGCAGCGGCCCTAATGCCCATCAATATGTGACTATACAGGACGCAAACCGTACAGAACTAGCAAACTGTCGCGCGCAACAGAGTACTCGGGAGGAAAGAATACGTCGTCGGCAACAACAAACTGACATTTTAGAAGCAACAACTTCGGCAGAGGATACATTTTATGGTCCTGGAATAGATGACTCTGTGTAAGTTGAAAAATAAATGTTTTAATTTAGTGTAAACTATACTTGAAACTTTAAACGCGTTTTTCTCAAAACTATGTTTTCAAAATCGGTGACCACGATATCTCAAAAACCGCTGCACCGATCGATCTGAAATTTTGCATGCTTTTTTTAGACATGTAAATCTAATCCTTAATCGTAGGATTTTTTTTTCCAATGCGTACTTTGTTTTTAAAGGACGAAAAAGTCCGATTTTTTTTTACAAAAATCGATTCTTCAACTTTAAATAGCCGCCATTTTGTTGCTATTTAATTTTTCGGCATATCGAACGATTAAGGACTAGATAAATTCATATATTAACTAAATTTTTTGGATTTTTTTATTTCAGATAACCTGGTTCGGAATGGCAGTGGTCACCGCAAAACGCGTTTTAAAAAACAGCTTCATGGATATTGTCTATAACTTTTTTATTTATTAATATTTTTGCATAAAAAAAATATGAAAACTTCATCAAAGTAGACTCTTTTGAACACAAAAACTTTCGTACAGAAATATGCATATATTTTCTAGAAAAAATTCACAAAAATTCGTATTTTTTCGGCCTCGCAAGTAGATATAACCCCTTAAGCGGCCGGTGGGTGCATCTAGTTGTTGCAGCCATTTCAGGGACTGGTGATTCGTAAGTACGGTGAACCGATACCCCTTCAGATAGCCACGTATTCGGCGGATGTCCCAGACTACGGCAAAGCACTCTAACTCAGTGACGCTGTAATTTCGCTCGGCGCCATTGAGCGTACGGCTGGCGTATGCAATTACGCGCTCCCCGTCGTTGAGCTGTTGGGTCAGCACGGCTCCGAGACCGTGTGAGCTTGCGTCGGTCTGGAGCAGAAACGGTCTGGTAAAATCCGGACAGGCCAGTACTGGGGCCGACGTGAGAGCCTCCTTGAGGCGGAGGAATGAGTCGTTCTCTGCGTCCTCCCATGCTTATCGGGCGTTCTTTTTCGTGAGCCGTGTGATCGGGGCGGCCAAGGTTGAAAAGTTCGGTATGAACCGTCGGTACCACGATGCCATGCCCAGGAATTGCCGAATCTTGCGTACGGTAGTGGGAGCGGGCCATCTCGTGATGGCGGTCACCTTCTCGGGATCGGTACGGATACCCCGCCGGTCGACGATGTGACCGAGGTACCGGAGGCTGTCCCGACAGAAATGACAATTGTCGGGGTTTAGCCATAGTTGGGCTTCTCGTAGCCGGCGAAAGACTTCCGCAAGATGCCGAAAGTGTTCCTCGAAGGTGCGGCTCGCGACGACAATGTCGTCTAGATACACTAGGACGTGGGGCTCTAATTCCGGCCCCAAGACCGAGTCTAGTAATTGCTGGAACGTGGCGGGCGCCGAGTGTAAGCCGAAAGGCGTTACCCTAAATTGGAATAAGCCCTTCCCGGGTACGGTGAAGGCAGTAGCCGGGCGACTTTCCGGCGTCAGTGGTATCTGCCAATACCCGCTTTTGAGATCTAACGTGGAGAGGTATCGGGACCCTCGGAGCTTGTCTAATGTGGCCGCTATGTGCGGCAACGGATAGGCGTCTGTCGGAGGCGGCGTTGGAGCTTGCGGAAGTCGATGCAAAATCGGTGGGTCCCGTCTTTCTTTCTGACCACCACTGGAGAGCTCCATGCACTACTAGAGGGCTCGATGACGCCCTCTGCTAGCATCTTTTCGATCTCTTAGTCGATGACGGCCTGCATGGCCGGATTCCGAGGCCGATATCTTTGTTTGATCGGTGCTACGGGTTTGAGGCGGATGCGGTGTGCTACTTGGTCGGCCCCTTTATTGCCTCGAACGCTGGTAATTCGCCGTTTAAAAATTCGCTCAGG